ACAGAATTTCCGGAGGATGGGGCCCAGAAATCATTGATTTTAGAAAGATTCCCAGGTGATTCTAATGTGCAGCCAAGGCTGAGAACCACTGGCCTGGAGCACTAACAAGCAGCGAAAACCCTGCTGCGCCGGAAGGAGCGGCGCACGGAGACCCGCCCCCGCGCCCCGCCGACGGGAGCCCGGGCCCGCACGGAGAGTGCGCACGCGGCGCCCACCGTTTGCGACGGGCCGGAAAGCAGCGACCGCAGCCAGCGCCGGGCCGAGCCGGGCCGCTATGGGGGTGAGGCGGGAGCGGGACGCTGCCGGGGCAGGGGCGCGGCGGCGGCGTGGATCTGGGATGCGGGCGCTCGCGCCGGGAGAGGATGAGGGGAGCGGGCCTGCGCTGGAAAGGAGCGGAGAGGCCGCGCGCGGGCCGGGGCGGGCGGGCCGGGGCCAGGCGTGGGGCTGCGCAGGCGCGAAATGCAGTCGCTTTGGCCCTCCCTTTCCTCTCAGAAAATCGCGCTGCAGCTCAAAGCCACGCTGGAGAACGTCACTAACCTCCGGCCTGTGGGGGAGGACTTCCGGTGGTACCTGAAGGTGCGGCTGCAGGGGCGGGGCCCCGACGGGGCGGGGGAGGAGCCCCGAGAGGCTGTGGGCACTTCGAGGTTCCAGGAGGGGGCGCCAGAGGCCAGGCCCTGAAAAAGGTTCCCCCACCTGATCTGTGCTTAACCACCAAATGTTTCTGGGTAGAATTTTATATTTGCTTTTTAAAATTTATCGGCTAATCCCTAATGGACAGTGTCTTGTAATTCCTTTTGTAATTTTTTCTCCGTTAAATATTTCATGGTATGTAAACAAATGCTAAAGGAAAGGCTGCTTGAAGGGATATTGTGATTCTTTAGTAAGGAGGATAATTTCACCTGTTTTATTCGTTGATTGGCTTTATTGTGAAGTCGTTTAATTCCGTGCATGGCTCCACCCCTGCTTCCCCACCCCATTCTGGAAAAGCTGGTACTGCCAGTGGCATGGTCTGGAGAGGACCCCTCTCAGCCGAGTAGTCTAAGCCCTTTGACTCTCCCGGATCCAGAGCTTCTGCTCTTTTCCTTGTAGCCTGAATCTCAGCATCCTTCGGTATTTGGCAAAAGCTGCTTCTGCTTCAGGAAGCCTCTGGCCACCTTTAATCCCATATATTTTGAAGACGGAGTGCCAGGGCTTATTTGGGGAATTGATGTTCTTTGGTTTCAGAAAGCACAGAGACTAGGGAAGGAGACAGAAAACCAGTAACAACAGAGGACAAACACTTACACCAGGAACGACAGGGCCTGTGGGAACACAGGAAGCTCCTAACCTAGCAGCGTGGATGGGAGGGGGCCGGTTGAGACCATTTCTGTGCCACACGAGCCTTGAGTCCCCAGCTAACCTGGGTACTTCTAAGGGGGGGGGGGGGGGGGGCGGCTGCCAGCAGGAGAAGCACCTTGGCCTGTTCTTTGCCCAGAGGTGAGTCTGGTTATGTCCCTGGTGGGGCTGGTTGTAAGGATGAGGGGAGATTGCTGGCAGGAAGGTAGGGTAGGAGCCTGCCTTCTTACCCTTCCCTCACTGTCTGCCTAACTGAACTAACTACTAATGCTCCTTTCTCTCCCAAGATGAAATGTGGCAACTGTGGTGAGATTTCAGAGAAGTGGCAATACATTCGGCTGATGGTAACTGCTCCCCCCACCACCATACCCCCCCCCCCCCACACACACACACACACATACACAGACATCTCTAGGCAGGAATTTGGGGAATCTGTGACCCAAATCTCTCTGGTCTTTGAACCTTGCTTTTGTGGTTTGGGGGGGCAGGCATTAGTGGGATCAACAGTGCAAGTAACAGCCTTCTTTGGGATGTGAGGCAGAGATCAAAATCAAGGGGAAGCCCTTTCCTTGGTCCTAAGAAGCCTCCCCAGGATTCTTGTCCTAGCAAGTCGCTCACCCTGAGTCTTGGTCTCTTCATTTGGAGAAAAAGTGGTGGGACTGGGTCTCTTCAGGACCCTACGTCTGACGGATTTGTGACTAGAGGTTGTGTTTACTCCTTGCTAGGACAGTGTGGCACTGAAGGGAGGCCGTGGCAGCGCCTCCATGGTCCAGAAGTGCAAGCTGTGCTCGAGGGAAAACTCCATTGGTAGGTCAGGCCATGAATGCTGAGCTCCGCGAGACCAGCCCCCTCGCTTCCTGATACCAGACCAGAAGCAGGCTCATGTTACCTGTAGTGCCCAAGCTTCTGCAGCAGACTCTTTCCCAGACCCACATCTGGGGGCTTGGGGTAGGGCCACTGTATGGACTCAAGTCAACTTTGTCCAATGTTTTATGTTTCAGAGATTCTGAGCAGCACCATCAAATCTTACAATGTAAGTTGCTTGCTGTAGTGGCAGGCATGGTGGGGTTAAATCCAAGCTAGGAGGCCTGGGTTCTAGAGTTATACTAGTAAGTGCTGGGCTGTGGAAGCTCAGGGGACTTCTGATCAAGCTGGCCATTCAGTTTCCATCGCTGGGAGCATTTGCCTTATCTACATCCTAGCAGGTCTAGGGAGCCTTCTCTGAGACCATGGGCGGAGAGTCCTTTGAATGGTCCCTTCCATCCTTGATATTGTCCATATTATTAGGTAGTTATTCATTACTGTATAACAAATTAGTTCAAAGGGGAGGGAGGGTGTGTGTGCTTTGGGTCTGTGTGTTTAAAGAAGGGCATTTAACTTGTGTTTATCCATTCCTTATTTGGTATTTTTGAAAAATGTCAGATTCATGCCAAACTTCAGCTTTGTCCTGAAGTTAAAGAGGAATCAGATGAGGACTTGCCCTTAAGAATTGCCTGGCTATACCACCTTAAGTAAATCATAATCTAGTGGAAGAGATAGATTAGCAAACAAAAAACAAACTAGGGCCCGCATACATGGTTGGTATGCAGGAAATGCTTTTAGAGTGAGTGACAGAATGAGAGCGAACGTGTAGGCATGGTGCTTGGGGTCTCTGGGCCCATGGGTCAGGTAGGCATGAATTTCCTGGCTACACCACCTCGCTCATAGGTGCCTCCCTACAAGCAAATCTCATTTCAAAGGCTTTAAGTCGGCCCCCTGCCTTCACAGCATGGCAGGTGGTTAGCAAAAGGCCACAGTAGATGTGTGCTGGGGCCGTTTAGATGATCTGGAGACTTTGTAGCTTAACATTCTTGTTCATATTTGTGATGTTGGTAATTTTACCTACTAGTTACTGAGTATAGTGTTGGATACTCTGCTGGGTACTTTACACATATTTCAAGTTCTCACAATAAATCTGTAGTGGTTCCTCACCTCTATTTGATAGTCTCAGGCCCAGAAGGGAATAAGATAGAGCTCTGCCTCCCATCTAGGCAGGCTGACCCCAGAGTCCACACTCTTTGTACTGTAGCATCCATGTCCAGGGTCTTGTAGGGAGCAGGTGGCTAAGGCAGGCTTCTACCAGAAGGGGGTGATTTGATCCCAAGTCCCATTCTGGGCTCACAGGGGCAGTAAGGACCTGGTTGGCAGGAAGGGTAGGGGCAATGGGGGTATCCTGAGGGCCCATTGGGGCCTACCTCCTCAATGTATTTCCTTTCTAGGTTGAAGACAATGAGAAGTTCAAGACGATAGTAGAGTTTGAGTGCCGGGGCCTTGAACCAGTTGATTTCCAGCCCCAGGTGTGTGTCTTCCTGGGAAACCTGTATCTTTGGGGAGGGCATATAGGAGGTAATAGCAGAACGTGGCTTCCTACAGAGACCATGAACTAGGAATTCTCCTTTGTAAGAATTATTATTTATTAAGTGCTACTATATGTTGGGCACCATGCTGGTCAGTTTTACATGTTTATCTTATTTAACCCTCCCAGTCACCCTGTGCAGTTATCCGTACTGTTTTTCAGACAAGGAAACAATTTCAAAGTTTTGCAACTTGCCCAGGGTGACACAGTTAGAAAGCAGGGGAGCTATAATTTGAACGCAGGTCTCTCTGACTCCAGAGTCAGTGCTCATCCCACTTTATTGGAGCGGCATTTTCACCTCACAAGTCTGTGAGATAGGCAGAAGAGAGAATATTACCATCCCTGTTTCATAAATACGAAAACTAAGGTCCAGAGAGGGAAGCGACATGCCCAGCTGGCGGATGGTTAGCAAAAGGCTGCAGCCAAGTGTACTTGGGACCATTTGGGTGATCTGAGCCTTTATAGCTTCGATTGTCTTTCAGGCAGTCTGGTAGTGGAAGGGTTTACCCTGCAGCTCCTGCCTTCTGATCTAGGGCTGTAATTGGAGGAACCACTCTAGTCCCAGGCAGCTGCCAGGCCCTGGAAGCTCAGTAGTTATTCCAGAACAGCTGCCAACACTATATCTCTGTGCTCCCTTCCCAACTGTGTTGTGAGAAAAGCCAGTTCGCTGGTCAGGCTCACGTGCCAGACCAGTGCCTCCTTCCCCTCAGACTCACTGCCTTCCTGTCCCTTGCAGGCTGGGTTTGCTGCTGAGGGTGTAGAATCGAGGACCATCTTCAGTGACATTAATCTGCAGGAGAAGGTATGGGACTTGGGGGCCGTGCAGGGTGCTATAGGGCACGTGGTGGAAATTATCTTTTATGGTGAACAAGACTCATCAATGGAAAGCTGACTGCACATCTTTGTGCATTTTGTTGGTGGTCTTGGTGTATAAGATGGCCCCAAGGGTAACGCTGAAGTTCCACCAAGTGTTCCACTTGCATGAGGGCTGGGATGTGCCTGCTAGAGAAAGTATATAATAGATAAGCTTTGTTCAGGCATGAGTTATAATGCTGTTGGCTGTGAGGTCAATTTTAATGAATCAACAATAGTATATTAAAAAGGTGTTTTTAAACAGAATCATACATGAAACAAGGTTATGTATTGATTGGTTGAAAACAGTGTTGTGATCAAATGTAAACTCCCATGAGTTTAACCCTGTGTTTTTCCTGGGAGCATTGGTTCATTATTCACTAAGTCAGCATTATGGTGACTTTGTAGAACATAACTACCACAAACAATGAGACTTGACTGCATCACTGGACATAGTAATGGCTTGCAGATAAGGAAACCTTGTGTTCAGGCCTCAAAGGAAGGACAAAACTTCATTCAATTTGTACAGCACGTAATAACAACAGTAACTAGAATTTATTGAGCTTTTACGTGTATCCGGCACTATACTAAGTACTTTTACATGTGTTACCTCATTTGATTCTTTCAACATGAAGAGTACTGTCCCTTTTTTTTAAAAAATAGCTCTACTTTTCTGAGGATCAGAATGGTTAAGTGACTTGCCAAAATCACAAAGATAGAAGAGCTGGAATTCAGGCCTGAACAGCCTGGCTTTGTTCTAGGTGATACATGTTCATGGACGGCTGGGTCAGAGCCTGAACTGGGCCTTGTAAGTCGCAGTTCCCCACTCCACACTGTCCTAGGCTGCCTCGTGAGGCTAACGCTGCCATTTTCCCCCACAGGACTGGACTGACTATGACGAAAAGGCCCAGGAGTCTGTGGGAATTTACGAGGTCACCCACCAGTTTGTGAAGTGCTGAGCCCTCTTCCTGCACACTTGCCTCTAAGAACTGAGAAGGGACAACCAAGCAGCAGAGCCCACTGAGGCTGGCCCCACATCCCTTGTCTCCTGGCAGCTGTCCAAGCCCTCACAGTCTGCATGCTGGGCTGTCACAGCTTCCCAGGCCCCACCAATAAAGCCCATTTGTGCTGTACTCATGCACTGAGGTAGTCAGGTAGCAGCCACTCCCCCCACAAATAAGAATCCATATTAGAGGTCTTTTACTGTTTCCTGACACCTTCCCACAATATAGAATCTTACACCTGATGCTTTGCAAACTATGCAGGAGCACACAGCTTCTAAGGGCTCTCTAGCTCATGAGGAGTGGGCACATCAACCCAGAAAACCAAAGGTGTCAAGGCCAATGGTATGCAATGCAGCTGAGCCTATAGCATGATACCATGAGCCAATAATCCTGAGCCAAAACACTGCATTGATAAGCATGGCTCTTAAGTAAATGCCGGCATCTCTGTTAGCTGGTGTCACTTCATATTCTAGGGATAAAAGGGACTGTAGAGGTCAGCCGTCCAGTCCTGGCAAGATTCTGCTCTCAAATTCTGGCCAGGTGGTCATTAGGTCTCGGCTCACCTGCTGTGATGGGGCTCTCCCACACGGAAGTCAGTATGAAAGTTCTTATATTCAGTCAGCATTTATGCCCCGAGTAGCTCCTGGTCCTGTTTTGTCCCCGCTGTGGTCACCCTTCTGTGTGCTGTCCCCCAGGCAGCCCTGTGGAGGTATGAAGAGCCCTTATCCAGTGGACAGCTGTTTAATGCAGTTAGGTCCACGAGGCATACCCATGCCTTCCCACCAGTAAGCCATTTGGAAAACTTGTTACAAGAGACCTTATTTATCCAGTGTTCTACTGGAGCCAGGAATTCTTTGGAAGTGAAATATCCTCATTTTCTGAATGGCCCACTGGGAATGGGTCTGCCCACTCCCAGGCTGGTTGTGGGGCACTAGGAAGGGGGATCCTCCAATTTAAGGTAAAGGTGGCCGTATCCAAGAGGTGAAGAGGTGCCGACCTTGTCCCCTCTCCAGTCTGGCAGCTACTTGTCTCCTCTAGGTCGAATATTCCTGGCTCCCTCTGGGCCTCTTTTTTGTACCTGACAACAGCATTTCTTCAGCCAGCAGGCCTTCTAGCCCCCTACCCACTAGGTCCAGTCCACTGCCAGCCTAAAAGCAAACAAGTGGAAGTAATGGGCTGGGTAAGCAGCCTTTCTAGTTTTCAGTCTCTATACCAGCCAGTGTGTTAAGTTCATAAAGACAAACACTAAGGATCAATAGCTTTTGTTTATACTTTAAATTGCTTTCTCATCTTTCAGGAGGTAAAAGAATCCAAAAAAAAATCATTAATTAAAAGGGAAAAATAAAGTAGATTATGTCAGTAGATGCAACAATTAAATTTTATTTCTGCTTCAATAATAAATACACCCGAGTTATTTTTCCAAATCCTACCCTCCTGATCAAATGCCCTTAAAATTGAAATCTCACATTATCTTTCATTGTGATCTAATTGCACTTGGAAATTACACGTTTAGTTTTAAAACCATGATTTTAAAGCTCAGGCTTCACATTGGCCGCTGAGGTACCTCATGATTAGTTCCAATAGTCACAGAATAGCACCTATTGGCTACATAGGCCTCAATTTTCATGTAGATGAAGCAATGGAGGCTTTTAACCCACCCAGAAGCTAAGTTTTGATGGATTTGCCTTCCATGGCATCAAACATGTCTTCCAAGGCTTTCTGCACACATTGGAGAAACTCCCGGGCATTGCGGCCTGTGTAGGAGGAGACGTTGCAGCCTATCCAGTTGTCATGAACGGCATACCCAACACCAAAGCCATCAGGGACCACGGGGGCAAAGCCACCAATGTTCACTGCTGGGCTGGTCAGTGTGCTAGTGGACAGGATGTTGTGGTTTATCTGCCCATATGCAGGGTCCAGATATAGCTCAGGCAGGGCAATCCCTTTGGCTGCTGTCAGGTACCGCAGAGCAAATAAGTGTCGGTCAAAGCCCTGGCCTGTGAGAGACAAAACAAAAAACCAGAGTCAAAATCGCAGAACTGAAAGAACCTTAGTAAACCTTCCCATCATGTAGGAATCCCCTTCGCAACATCCTTGAGAGTGGAAGACGGTCGTCTACCTCTACATGCACACCTCCAGCTCACTAGCCTCTGGGGCAGTTCATTCTAGATTGTTTTCTTAAGAAAAAACTCAACAGCTGAGTCAAAAATGAGCCTAAAATAAAAGTATGATTTTACAAAAATGAGCCTAAAATAAAACTAAGTCAATTTAGTCAAGAAAAGTACATGAGAGCTCTGGACTCAAAAACTAAGACAAGCCCTAACCGGTTTGGCTCAGTGGATAGAGCGTCGGCCTGCGGACTCAAGGGTCCCAGGTTCGATTCCAGTCACGGGCATGTACCTTGGCTGTAGGCACATCCCCAGTAGGGGGCGTGCAGGAGGCAGCTGATCGATGTTTCTAACTCTATCCCTCTCCCTTCCTCTCTGTAAAAAATCAATAAAATATATTTTTAAAAAAAAACTAAGATAAAAGCCACAGTCCAAGTCAAGTGTCAAAGACAATGAGTCAGTGGAACAAAACTGAAAGTTCTCATCGCATCTTTACTGCTAATTTGCTATATAAGCTTGGGCCAGCGGCCTCAGTTGCCTGCCTATAAAATGGGAAAGGATGAGACCAGAATGTCGTGGAGGTCCCTTTTAGTTCCAGGACTTTTTCTGCATGAGAGGATTGGATTATGTGATCCTCCAGTTCCTTTCCAGGCCTCAATTTTTGCCACAACGAGGCAAAGACGACAAACACTTAGATTTGGGGAAAGCTAAGGTGACCTATTTACAGGGAGCCGACACACTACACCTGAGGTGAAGTAAGAGGGCCTGTGAGCTTAGAAATCCTAAATTGTCACACTGAGTCTAATGACTAATAAATAATAGAATCATGTGTCACAGCTGAAAGTGACCTTCATTGAGGATAATGTTAGATGTATTTCCCCATCCCTGCTTAGAACATTCTGATCCCTAGTGGCTCGCCTGGCTATTCAGACTATTAGGGTAGAAAAAATCATGTGGTAGCTGGCAGATGGCTACAATATAGTGAAGAGGTAGAAATCAGATGTGGGTAGAATATTGTGGAGGCCTACCCCAGTGCAGAGGGCAACAAGACCCGAGGGCATGCGCCCCGTCTCACCCATGGCCGCTTCTTTGGTCAGCTGCCCGTGGTATCTGGAGCACTCGGCCATCATCTGCTTAAGCTCTCCAGCACTGTGCTTGGAAGGTTCCCTGACAAAGGCCTCGGAGCACCTCTTTGTGAAGATGGAGGCGGGGCGGATGGTCTCCGTGCGGCCGTGCTTGAACGCTGCAGTGCTGCAGGACTCGTAGGTGGCCACCGTCTGCCCATATTGCCGCAGAAAGGCCATCTGGAAGGCCAGCTGAGCCACCGAGTCAGGGCTCAGCTTCTGCTTCTTCAAGAATTCTTTGCCTCCTCTCTGAAACTGGATGCAGTCAACGGTGAGGGTTTTCATGGTGGCATCAAACTTTTCCTTAGCAGCAATGATGCCAGTCTTTAAGGCGTCGTTCAGCTTGAAGTTGAGCTTCTGCACAGCAGCAGAAGAGTCAGTGCTGGCTGGCTGGCTCTGTGGAGTGATGGCAGGGGCCTGAGTGCTGTCTTTAAACACTTCATTGAAAAACCTGAGCACTGCAACCCCATCGCCCCAGGCATGCTCAAAATGGACAGCGGCAGTGCCGTCCTTGGCTATAATGAGGTTAAAGGATTTATCATACCAGCGGTTTGTGCCGTCACCATGCAGCATGGTATGGGACAAGTGGATAAGGTCCTTAATGGGGAAGTCATCTAGGCACAGACAGAACACAGCAGAGTCCACTTTCCTCAGGGTCTCCTCGTTGCCACCACTCACCAGCTTCTGCCTGAGCTCTGCCCAGATATCTCGGTTCTCACTGGGCAGATATGCCAGTGGAAACTCGGGGGCAGGGCTATTGTCTGAGAGAATGTACTTCAGATGAGCCTGGATTTCAGAGGCGCTCACAATGTTCCCATTTTGATCCAGGACATCAAAGACATAGAAATGTCCTTTTCTTAGGACCAGGAGGTGTCTGGCCTTGTCATCAGTGAAGAGTTCATCCCGGCTGGGTCTGGGTAAACGAGTTGAATTGAAAAGCCGAAAATACTGGGACATATCCAGTGGATATGCATTGACCAAGTAGGCACCATACCAAGACAGAGAGGAAGGCACAAGGCGTATGAGTTTCTTGAAGGTATCAGTGTCACTTTTGGCAGGGTTCAAGTGGAACACTTCAGGTTCCAAAAGGCCATCCCGGAGTGTCTTCAGAAACCGGATGGCAGAAACCGTCATGTTGGTCGCCCGGGTGAGCTGGTCATTATACTCAGACTTTGGGTCAGGGTTGAATGACATAAATGGATTAAAGTTCAAGACAATGGGGTCTCGAGCAGTTAAGTACATATCAAACCAGGGGCCTAAAACATAAAAATAAAAACATAAAAAGGTAATGCAGTCCCTAAAAATAAAACCTGAGAAAGAAAAAAATAAGTCAAACATATGCAGAAGAAATGACATCACCTCCAGAGGGAGGAATTTCCGGATTATTTTTTTGTTCTGCAATAATTCATGTTGTATAAACAGGATCATACACTATTTGGTCTTTTACATCTGGCTTCTATTACTTACAATAATATTCCTGAGGTTCATCAATGTAACATGTGGTAGTTCTGCATTTCTTTTTATTACTGAATAATGTCCCATTATATAGATATAGCACATTTGTCATCAGTTGATGGACATTTGTGTTGTTTCCACTTTTTGGTTATTATGAATTCTCATGGGGATATAAACTAGGAGTAGAATTGCTGGTCATGTGTTAAACCTTTTGAGGAACTGCTACGGTCTTTTCCAAAGTACCTGCACCATTACCACCAGCAGTATATGAGGGTTCCAATTTCTCCACATCCTTGGCAACATTTATTGTTTGTCTTTTTGATTGGAGCCAGTCTGGTGGGTAACCATTATTGTGGTTTTGATTTGCATTTCCCTAATGTCTATTAATTGCCTTTTCTTCCTCATTCTCTTTCCTTTCTTGATTCTTAAAGGAATAAAATAC